TCAGTAGCCACTTCGTTCAGTTACGTGCTTGGACGGTATAAATTCATTATCAAATAACGATTATCATCAAAAAGAATATATTAAGAAACAAATTATAATGAAAGAAAATCTGGACTGGGTCCTCTTGAACTGGATGGCATATGTCCATCGGCAGTTTACCATTAGCTGAAGAAGTATGATTCTTGGATTGGAGGGTATAAATTCATTATCCGACTTAACATTATTATCATCAAAGAATATATTAAAACCGAATTTATAATGAAAACTGTCCTGGACTGGGTCCTCTTGAACTGGATGGCATATGTCCATCGGCAGTTTACCATTAGCTGAAGAAGTATGATTCTTGGATTGGAGGGGTATAAATTCATTATCAAATATAATTTATTATCAAAGGATATGTAAAACCGAATTATAATTAAGCTTATTCTGGACTGGGCACTCTTGAACTGGATGGCATATGTCCATCGGCAGTTTACCATTAGCTGAAAAGTATGATTCTTGGATTGGAGGTATAAATTCATTATCAAATAACATTATTATCATCAAAGAATATATTAAAACCGAATTATAATGAGAAAACTGGCTGGACTGGGTCTCTTGAACTGGATGGCATATGTCCATCGGCAGTTTACCATTAAGCTGGAGAAGTGATTTCTTGTATTGGACGATATAAATTCATTATCAAATATCATTATTATTATCAAAAGAATATATTAAAAACCAGTTATAATGAAGAAAACTATCCTGGACTGGGTCACTCTTGGACTGGATGGCATATGTCCATCGGCAATTTACCATTAGCACAGTATGATTCTTGGATTGGACAGTATAAATTCATTATCAAATAACATGATTATCATCAAAGAATATATTAAAACAGAAATATAATGAGAAACTGTCCTGGACTGGGTCTACTTGAACTGGATGGCATATATGTCCATCGGCAGTTTACCATTAACTGAAAGAAAGAAGTATGATTCTTGGATTGGAGGGTATAAATTCATTCTCAAAATATCATTATTATTATCAAAAGAATATATTAAAACCAATTATAATGAGAAAACTGTCCTGGACTGGGTCCTCTTGAACTGGATGGCATATGTCCATCGGTAGTTTACCATTAGCTGAAAGAAGTATGATTCATGTATTGGACGATATAAATTCATTATCAAATATCATTATTATTATCAAAAGAATATATTAAAACCGAATTATAATGAGAAAACTGTTCTGAACTGGGTCCTCTTGAACTGGATGGCATATATTGCATCGGCAGTTTACCATTAGCTAAAGAAGTAGCAATTCTTGGATTGGAGGGTATAAATTCATTATCAAATATCATTATTATTATCAAAAGGACCTTAAAACCGGATTATAATTAGAAAACTATTCTGGACTAGGTCCTCTTGAACTGAATGGCATATGTCCATCGGCAGTTTATCATTAGCTGAAGAAGTATGATTCTTGGATTGGAGGGTATAAATTCATTATCAAATAACATTATTATCATCAAAAAGAACTATATTAAAACCGAATTATAATGAGAAAACTGTCCTGGACTAGTTCCTCTTAAACTGGATGGTATATGTCCATCGGCAGTTTACCATTAGCTGAAGAAGTATGATTTTTGGATTGGACGGTATAAAATTCATTATCAAATATCATTATTATTATCAAAGATATATTAAAACCGAATTATAATGAAAACATCCTGGACTGGGTCCTTCCGAACTGGATGGCATATATCCATCGGCAGTTTACCATTAGCTAAAGAAGTATGATTCTTGGATTGGAGGGGTATAAATTCATTATCAAATATCGTGTGTGTAAAAGGATATATTAAAACCGAATTATAATTAGAAAACTATTCTGGACTAGGTCACTCTTAACTGGATGGCATATGTCCATCGGCAGTTTACCATTAGCTGAAGAATGACTGATTCCTGGATTGGAGGGTATAAATTCATTATCAAATAACATTATTATCATCAAAGAATATATTAAAACCGAATTATAAATGAGAAAAACTGTCCCTGGACTGGGTCCTCTTGAACTGGATAACATAACATGTCCATCGGCAGTTACCATTAGCTGAAGAAGTATGATTCTTGGATTGGGAGGTACTCAAATTATCAAAAATATCATTATTATTATCAAAAGGATATATTAAAACCGAATTATAATTAGAAAACTATTCTGGACTAGGTCCTCTTGAACTGGACATATGTGTCCATCGGCAGTTACCATTAGCTTTGAAGAAGTATATGATTCTTGGATTGGAGGTATAAATTCGTTAATCTTCATCTAAAAATGGTTGATTTTCAAAAATTGCCCAGTGTAATTCTTAATACTATTGTATTTTTACAACAGAAATTTTATCTCAAATTCTCTTAAGTAAAAAGTATACCTTGAATAAGCCGTACTTTAATGTAAAAATAAGTTTAAATCACACTGTATATTAAAAGAAAACAATTATACACATATTTTGAAAATAAGAACCTGTATATCACCCTGTAGATATACACATATCCCATACGAGTTTCTCTCTTCAGTCTCTCCACATTCAGTATTTTATTTAATTATTTTAGTCATGTATACAGAATTCAATTTTTTTTAAAAGCAAAAACTAATTTTATAAAATACCCTCTAAAAGATAACTAAATAACATAAAATTATTAGTGTAAATCATCGTTTTACCTTCTTATAAGTCAATGAACATAGTTTATAGACAAAATATGCAACCAACTGGCTCATATATATTAATGCAATTCACGAATTTGTTTGGGCAAATCACCCAAACTTTTACATTTTGACGATAATAATAGCACAAAACAAGTCCAAAGAAATTAAATGAAACATGTAACAATATTATTTATTCAGATACTTCGTCGAAAGATTGATAAGGTTTTGAACTTAACAACGATCAAAAGAGGTTATAATAAATAAAAATAGTATTAATAATGTGCAAAATAGTATTTGCATAAACAAATATGAAGTGGTGTATGTTTTTAGATTTTAAGGGCATTGTTCGAGATCTAATGGACTAATTTTTGACAATTTTTTGTTAGATAAAATGTTTAGCAATCCCAATAAAATTTTGAGAAGAAAAAATTGATCTGAAAATTCCATACCTGTAATTTTAAATCAAAACGTGTTTTTTTGGCAAACCACCATGGCAACGGATAAATTTTAGTGAAAATTTTTTTCCTTGTGGCACCCAACAGCGAATTATACTGGTAATTTTTTGACGTTTATAATGACAGAATATCTTTTTGAGAGTCTGGTTTTTATCTGTTTACATGATAATTTTGATACATTTCAATTACAAAACTGAGATGAAAGTTTGTAAACTGCTTCCATACGCTTGACTTCGATTTCCCAGTATTCGCTGGTGTCAACTGCTTAATCTCCCGGCGAATATTTTCTTTGCTTTCATGACCGAAGCGAAACATTTTTTTAAGCCGTGCCGCTTTACAGCTTCAAAACTGAAATACACACACCGGAAAAGTCTAGGGATATTACAATTTTATCCACCCATCGTCAGTAATTTTATTATTTGCATTTCTGATATAATAAAATTAAAATAAGCAAATAGTTTACAGGACATATTGGAAATAAAAATGCGAAATTTACCGAATTTTTCAAATTTACCTTGATTTTTATTTGAACTCAAAATACACACATTTTTTTTTATTCTAAACTGTGAATTAAAAAAAAGATAAAACCATGTTTACTTAATAAAGGGTATAGCCTCCTCTACTGTTCATTACAGCCCTACATCGTCTCTCCATGCTCCTGATCAGGTTGTCGATCTCTTCTTGAGGTACAGCCTGCCACGCTGCATTCACAGCCCGAACCAGATCCCTACGAGTTTCACGAGGGATGCCCATTCTCAAAATTCTTCTTTGGACCGCGTCCCATACGTGCTCGATGGGGTTGAGGTCAGGAGATTGGGCCGGCCAGGGTAAGATGTTTAATTGATGAGCATTGATAAACTCACTTACCACTCTGGTTGTATGAGGCCGTGCATTGTCATGAATGAGAATGAAGTTTCTCCCAAAATCATTGGCATATGGTAACACGACAGGCTCAAGAATTAAATCACTATATGTGATTCCTTAGAAACCTTTCAAAAAAAACGAGATCGGTTTTTCGGCCTAACTGAACTCCTCCCCAGACCATAACTGTTCCACCTTGATAAGGGTGCACTTCCTGAACATGATCCAACCGAATAAGATTTCCCGGTTCTCTCCATACCCTAAGCTTTCTCGAATCCAGATGAATTCCAAAGCGTGACTCATCCGTGAAGAGAACATTGGTCCATTGTTCATTCGACCACTAAACATGATCTTGAGCCCACAAATATCGTACCTCTCGATTTCCTCTCGTTAAGGGTTGAGCTCTCCAGGGGCGTCTGCTTCTTAAGTTGACCTCTCTTAATCTATTGCGAACAGTGTCAGGACTAACGGTTACATTATGTGTTTCCTGGAGAATTAAACTTAGCTCTGGTGCTGTAAGAGTCGGTCGGCGTCGAGCATTTAATTGTAAAAAATGATCTTGCTGAGGGGTAGAATGCGATGTCGCCCTGTGTGCCTTTCAGCAACATCAACACTTTCACGGTAGCGTGCACTTAATCGCGATATTACACTTTGCGTTGCATTTAATGTTCTAGCTACGTCGATTTGGCGCATTATTATTAATAAAATTAATAAAATAATTAAATTAATTATTATTTTTATTATTAAATTATTAATTTTTAAAATATTCATGAGCTCGAAAAAATTTCCGGAAATAATTTGACCTCTAGTGGTACTACTTGTGAAAATTTTGCAATTTTCAGAAAAACAGAAAGTTCTTTTTTCTAAGAAATTTTTAACGATTTCAAGATTGCAACTGACTATTTAAAGAATGAATACATGCCTAATTCACTTTTTGTGATGTTCTTAATATTAACCCTAAAAAAGGTACCATAAAAAAAGACTCAAGCAAACAAAAAGGAAAAATGTAAAAACGATAATTTTTGTAGACATCTAACATCGATACTGAAAATAAAATATATTCTTTATTCCATTTTGGTTCGTATGTGAAAAAATCTGATAATAATACATCTAGCAAAAAAAATAATGACAAATATTTTAAAACAATTTATTAAATCTAAAATATAATTAAACATAACTAAAACTATAAACTAACGATATGTCCGTTATAAGTCACTCCGTTTTCCTCACTACCGTCATCCGAAACTTCATCCTGAAAATTATTGTTTTTATATCTTCTCTTGCAGCACTTCAAGTACGCCATTTTGAAGTGCTTGTCGTGTTTCCCTAGCAAGAACACTACTACAATCACACCAAAATATGACAAAATAGCCAGTGACATCAGGAAGGTAATATAATGACCATTATAGTGTTCATATTCCACGAAAAGATGGACTACTTCGTATAAATTAAGTGGTAATGACATCAAGAAATATGTCCAAGGAACTACTATAGAATAATCGTACTTTTTGGCAATATTACTAGTGTTTTTACGCTTCCAAATAAGAAATATCGCCATAATTGTGATGAAACAGACAAAAAATGAAATTAACCTGAAATAGTCGAGAAAATAAAAACCTTCTTCCATCTCTTCTATATGTGATTCATTCACAAAACAAGTTATAAAAACTACGAAGGTCTTAAGAAGGAGTATCAAAAAAGCTATTAAAATCCCATGATTAAAAACCTTCAAATACTTGTCATGGAACCACTTATAATAATGAAAGGCATACCAGTCAATTGCCATGAAAGTTAGAGAATAGGAAACCATTTCAATACAAGCATAATCAATGCTTGAAACGAGGCATGTGCCTGTAGTTGACAAACCCTGTGATATCATGCGAAGAAACATGCTTATACAATCTGACAACAGCATGTAGCACAAGTGCGATATGGCATAGACAAGAAGGTACTTGTAAGATCTCGCGTTTTCAAGGGTTTTGAATTTTTTGATTACAACTATTAGGTAGATGTCTAGGGAAATCACAATTATAGATACAAGAAGCCACATTATGTGTATGATGTACAGTGGGTTAAAAATAGTAGCGTACTCGTCTGCATACAGTGGATAGGGTGTGGAGTTTTCTAGGCCAAAATCCGTTGTGTCAAAATCTAAAAAAAAGAGAGAGACGAGAAATATTATTATATTGAAGATAAAAAGTATTTACCGTTTACTAAATAATTTGTAATAAGAATAATACAGGACCTTCAGAAGTAGTTAAATAATACATTTAGTTTTGACTTACCCGGTACTCTAGTCATGTCATGGTGATGTGTAGTTATGTTGTGATCCATGTTATGTTCCAACGATATCTGACAAAAAAAAGATAAAAAAATTACAAAAAAAATAATTAAATTAAAAATTCTATATTATGTTTTCTATTCGGGCACTAATTACTATATAGGGTGAGTCTTAAATAAGTGCAAATATTTTAGTGGTAGTATATTTCGACCCCAGAAACACGATTATAACTTTTTTTCCGCAAAAAGAAATTAATTTTGCAGTTTTTTTAAGATTTTAGTTAAAAAATATAATTTGTTGATAATATGGTAAAAAGTCAGCGAAAACCGCATCTTGATATCTTCTTTCAAACCGAAGATATTAGCAAAATTATAATAAATACCAAAAAATAAGCCCTTAATTACCTTAATTTTACAACACGGTATCAGTAGCTCTCTTGAGTATGCCCATTCTAACCTAAAAATAAGATAGAAACAGTTAGTTTATTTTAAAATCGACGAAATACCAGAATGGCATAATACCACAGATGTATTAATATCTAATAATTAAGATATTAATAATAGTGAACAAGAAACGATGATTCAGTGGAGTCATGGTAGGCTTTGGAAAAAAGTTGCTTTTCGCGTAATAGTATAAACGTCAAATTGTTATTAGATCAACATTTTTATCTTTTAAATGCTTTTTCAAAATGCCTTTATTATTTGAAGTAGTTGAAGTTGTGTTGGCATTTTGAAAAAGCAATCAAAAGATAAAAAACGTTGCTAAAACTATCAAAATGTTGATCTAATAAAAATTTGACATTTATACTATTATGTCAAAAGCAACTTTTTTCCAAAGCCTACCATGACTTCAACTGAATCATCGTTTTGTTCCTATTATTAATATCTTATTATTAGATATTGCGGTATCTGTCGATTTATAGCCTTGGTATATCGATTTTAAAATGACCAACTGTTTCATCTTTATTTTTAGGTTAGAAATGGGTATAATCAAGAGGGCTACTGATAACCCGTACAAAAATAAGATAATTAAAGGTCTTATTGCTTTTGGGTATTTATTATAATTCCTTACACATCTTCGGTTTGGAAAGAAGATATCAAGATGCGGTTTTCGCTGACTTTTTAAGCTTTTACTACTCTTTACTATCAGCTAAAATTACATATACTATTGCATTTAATTTTTTTGAAAAAACGCACAATGTTTGTTAAATTGTAAAACAACGCCCCCTAGCGTCTACGTTCAAAAGCTTATTATTATTGTTTATATGGTGCAATAGAGCGTAAGAAACGCTCTTTTAAACGAGCCCTCGCTTGTTGGATTCCGATCATCCAGTCCAGAGTTATTAATATTCAAATAAAAACAGATCTAACCTTCCCCCACCACTTTATTTTGGCAGATAGGGGAAAATGGCTCTAACAAAAAATATTCAAAATTTACTGAAGATTATGAAGCTGTTACTCATAGTACACCTTATCTAGGCAAAATTGTGTAAAAACTCCATTTTCTTACTTTTTGTTGGAGTTGCGCCCCCTAGCGGTCGTTCTACAAACTTGAAAATAATGTCCAGCAATTTCCCATAGCCTCTTTAGTTACAAATATTTTTTTTTCCGCAGCAACTACGGTTAATACTTTCCGAGATACAGCCGAGAGCTATCTTAGTGGGATACCCTGTACATAGGTAGTAGATTAAATTTACAAGAAATAAAATCCAGAAAAGATCCAGTGATTCTCAAATTTTTTTACAAAAAGTTATTTTTTTTTGGAAATTTTGAAAGTAAAATTAATTGGTTATTTTGGTTTGATTTGAGAAACGGTAAAGGGAAAATATGTTTCTTTTATCGAGATCTACCAGCCCTGAAAATATTTGCACTTATTTGAGACTCACCCTGTATAATTAATTTTTGTTATAAAAACTCTATACACAAACATAATATACACACACCGGAAAAGTCTAGGGATATTACAATTTTATCCAGCCATCGTCAGTAATTTTATTATTTGCATTTCTGATATAATAAAATTAAAATAAACAAATGGTTTACAGGACGTATTGGAAATAAAAATGCGAAATTTACCGAATTCTTCAAATTTACCTTGATTTTTATTGAATTCAAAAAAATACACACATTTTTCTTTTATTCTAAACTGTGAATTAAAAAAAAAGATAAAACCATTTTTACTTAATAAAGGGTACAGCCTCCTCTACTGTTCATTACAGCCCTACATCGTCTCTCCATGCTCCTGATCAGGTTTTCGATCTCTTCTTGAGGTACAGCCTGCCACGCTGCATTCACGGCCCGAACCAGATCCCTACGAGTTTCACGAGGCATACCCATTCTCAAAATTCTTCTTTGGACTGCGTCCCATACGTGCTCAATGGGGTTGAGGTCAGGAAGAATTGTGCCCGCCAGGGTAAGATGTTTAAATGATGAGAATTGATAAACTCACTTACCACTCTGGCTGTATGAAGCCGTGCATTGTCATGCAAATGAGCATGAAGTTTCTCCCAAAATCATTGGCATATAGTAACACAATAGACTCAAGAATTAAATCACGATATGTGTGATTCCTGTTAGAAACCTTTCAAGAAAAAGGAGATCGGTTTTTCGGCCTAACTGGACCCCTCCCCAGACCATAACTGTTACACCTTGATAAGGGTGCAATACCTGAACATGATCCAACCAGGATCCAACCGAATAAGATTTCCCGGTTTCTCTCCATACCCTAAGCCTTCTCGAATCCGGATGAATTCCAAAGCGTGTCTCATCCGTGAAGAGAACATTGGCCCATTGTTCATTCGACCACTGAACATGATCTTGACCCCACAAATATCCTACCTCTCCGATTTCCTCGTTAAGGGTTGAGCTCTCAAGGGGCGTCTGCTTCTTAAGTTGACCTCTCTTCATTATTGCAAACAGTGTCAGGACTAAAGGTTACATTATGTGTTTCCTTAAGAATTAAACTAAGCTCTGGTGCTGTAAGAGTCGGTCGGCGTCGAGCCATTTAATTGTAAAAAATGATCTTGCTGAGGGTAGTAATGCGATGTCGCCCTGTGTGCCTTTAAGCAACATCACCACTTTCATGGTAGCGTGCATTTAATCGCGATATTACACTTTGCTTTGTATTTAATGCTCTAGCTACGGCGATTTGGCGCATTCCAGCTTCAAACATACCCATGGCCCTTAGCATTTCGTCTTTGTTAAGATGTCTACGCTTTCCATAATGTCGTTTAATACTAAACAGGGTTATTTGAATGAATTCTGGCCAGTTTATTCATAAAAAACATAGCCAGTACAGGTTAATTTCGAACAATTGATGCTAGGTGCTTTTTAATTACATTTGGAAAAAAATGCACAACACTTTCTGCAATTCCCAAATTTGAAAATAACTAGTGTGACTACTTCGTTTCAATCGAAGTAGAAAGAATCGGCCTACAAATATGTGGTTGTTTATTCAAAACATTTATTTTTAACTTTAATAAAATGATATCCCTAAACAGTTGAATATAAGTTCTAGTTTTGGCTCACTCTGTATATACCAATCAATATAAAGTAATTTGGTTGGATAAGGTTTGAAAAATATGTATATTAGGTATACTCAGTAATTTTTATAATATTATGGTATTTTTAGAAGAGTGTTTTTTTATGCCAAATCCACTTAAGGTAAGCAATTTACAGTTGTTTCTTCTATAAATCTGATATTGGTGTATAAAAATAAATTTAAATCACACTGTATATTAAAGCAAATAAGTATTCCGTATTTTTGTAAAAAAAATCTTTAATAAAAATCTATGTAGGCACATATCACCCTGTAGGTTAATCTATATTCTTATTTATCTTCAGTCTGTAGAAAATTTTATGTATTAAAAATATTTTTTTTCCATAGTAACTGTTAAAATTGCCTTATATCTATCAAAAATAGTAGATAAAATAGCACTTTAAAGTGAAGTAGTTTGGATATGGCGTTTGTCGCCTCAGCCTGAATATCTGTTGGTAATTTACTTATTTCGTTCTGAGCCATTTCTGGCACGAAAAGAAGAATTAAAAAAATAATATAATTGACTGAAACTGAAATTATCTACAAAATTTTATGAATTTTAAAAAAAAATTACATAGAAACCAACGCCCAACCCAGCACAATATTTTTTTCTTTCTACGTGCCGTCTCTTTCAAAATCTTCACGATTCTAAAAAAAAAAAAAAAAATATTTTTTAAAACGTTACTCGCTATTGTTGAAAAAAGATATTGTTTTATATACACGACGATAAAAATTGCATTATCGTCCATACCCACGAAAATTAATAAATACCATTTTATCGTCTTGAATAAATAAACAAAGGGAATTTAAATGTAGAAATCAGTCTTACCTTCTTATAAATCACTGAGAGTCCTAAAAAAAACTCAAAAGCTGTATTATATATCTGTATATGCTTAAATCAATTCAAACTTGGGCTTTTCTCACATTTTCTTGTGGCTAAACTTTGAAATTATTTGCAAAAAATTGATGCACTTTAATTTTGATGATGTTTCGTTTGTAGACAAGATACGCGTGCAACTATGCTTATCTATTAGCGCAATTGGCCAATTTATGTAAGTGAATTTCTCGAACTTTTACATTTTTATGGCAACAATAACACGACAAGATAGGTTCACGGAATCAAACTAGTAGGAGCAATGTTATTCAGAGTCTTCCTCGAAAGATTGATAAGGTTTAAGTAAAGTTAACAATCAACGGTCAAAGAAGGTTACAGTAAATAAAAACAGTGTTAGTAATGTACCAATTAGTACCAGAATAAACAAATATGAAGTACTGTTCGATAGGAAGTGCATTGCTTGAGATTGAATGGACTAGTTTTTGACTCTTTTTGTTGAATAAAATTTTAGGCAATCTCAGTAAAATTTTCAGAAAAAAAATTGGAAAATGATTTATAAAATTTTACGATTTATAAAAAAAATCAAGTGTCTTTTTCTAAGACATTTATACAGGGTGTTTCAAAACGAATGCGAAAAACTTCAGGGGGTGATTCCTTGTTCATAATAAAGGGTAGTTTGCTTCATAAACGTTGGGTCAAAAGTCAACCATTAGGGAAATATTCGGGTATCAAAAAAGGGAAAAAAAAAAAAAAAAAAAAAATTTGGGGCGGAAAAAATAATATTTTTATTTTTTATCTTGGAAAACGAAAAAGAGAATAGACTATAAAATTTTATGAAAGCATTACTGTTAATGAAAACACACTTTCTGGAGATTTTTTCACCTTTTTTAAAAATGAGTTGGAAGGGGTTGAAATAAACTACCCCTATCATTCTTTGTTAAACAGAAATTTAAAGAAAAATCTTATCAAACACATGCTAAAAATTTAATAATTGGATAGTTTAGTTTGTTTAGAAACTTTTTTATCTCTTTGTATTTTTTTGATAAAAATTTTTTTTTTTGAATTTGAAATTAAAAAATAAAATGTTTAAGCATTACATGTCAGGACAACAAACATTTTCTGATAAAGAATCTAGTGGGCTGCTGTAAAATTTTTTTTAGGAAACAAATCTAGTCGGCCGCTGTTACATTTTAGGATGTTCCTAATATTATTTTATTTGACATTAAATCTAACTGCAATACGTTATTATCTAGAGGATTATTATTATCGTTATTATCACTAAGATTCTTAATCTAAAAAAAAATAAAAATGTTTTTGTCCTGACATGTAATGCTTTACATTTTATTTTTTAAATTTCCAATTGGTGAGTTTAATCAAAAACACAAAAAGAGGTAAAAAAGTTTTTCTAAACAAACTAACCTATCCAAATTAAAGCATTTGCATGTGTTTGAATAAGATTTTTCTTTAAATTTCGTTAACAAGAATGATAGGGTAGTTTATTTCAAACCCATTTCCACTCATTTTAAAAAAGTAAAAAAAATTACTGAAAAGTGTGTTTTCATAACAGAAATGCTTCCGTAAAATTTCATTAGTCTATCTCTTTTCGTTTTCAAGATAAAAAGTAAAAACATTATTTTTCGCCCATCTTTGTACCGCGATATCTCCCTAATGGTTGACTTTTGACCCAACGTTTATAAAGCAAACTACCCTTTATTTTGAACAAGGAATCACCGCCTAAAGTTTTTCGCATTTGTTTTGAAACACCCTGTATATGAATTCAAGAATGTAACTACACACACCGGAAAAATCTAGAGATATCATTTTATTAAAGTTAAAAATAAACGTTTTGAATAAACAACCACATATTTGTAGGCCGATTTTTTCTACTTCGACTGAAACGAAGTATTTCTAACAACTAGTTTTTCCTAAATTTGGATATTTGCAGAAGTGTTTGTGCATTTTTTGTCAAATGTATAAAAAGCACCTAGCATCAAATGTTCGAATTTAACCTGTACTGGCTTATGTTTTTTTAATGAATATTTTTTTTTTTTTTTATATATATAATAAATAAGTATGGTGTTATTAAACGATGTTATGGAGCGTAGACATAACGCTAAGGAGAGACGAAAACGCTAAGGGCAATGGGTATGCTCGAAGCCTGGAATGCGCCAAATCGACTTAGCTAGAGCATTAAATACAACGAAAAGTGTAATATCGCGATTAAGTGCACGCTACCGTGGAAGTGGTGATGTTGCTGAAAGGCGCACAGGGCGACATCGCATAACTACCCCTCAGCAAGATCATTTTTTACAATTAATGGCTCGACGCCGAACCGACTCTTACAGCAGGAGAGCTTAGTTTAATTCTCCAGGAAACACATAATGTAACCGTTAGTCCTGACACTGTTCGCTATAGATTAAGAGAGGTCAGAACTTAAGAAGCAGACGTCCCTGGAGAGCTCAACCGTTAACGAGAGGAAATCGAGAAGTACGATATTTGTGGGTTCAAGATCATGTTTAGTGGTCGAATGAACAATGGACCAATGTTCTCTTCACGGATGAGTCATGTTTTGGAATTCATCCGGATTTTAGAAGGCTTAGGGTATGGAGAGAACCGGGAAATCTTATTGGGTTGGATCATGTTCAGGAAGTGCACCCTTATCACAGTTATGGTCTGGGGAGGGGTCCAGTTAGGCCGAAAAACCGATCTCGGTTTTCTTGAAAGGTTTCTAACAGGAATCAAATATCGTGATTTAATTCTTGAGCCTGTCGTGTTACCAATATGCCAATGATTTTGGGAGAAACTTCATTCTCATGCATAACAATGCACGGCCTCATACAGCCAAAGTGGTAAGTGAGTTTATCTTCAATGCTCATCAATTAAACATCTTACCCCGCCCGGCAACAACTTCCTGACCTCAACCCCATCGACCACGTATCGGACGCGGTCCAAAAAAGAATTTTGAGAATGGGTATGCCTCGTGAAACTTTTAGGGATCTGGTTCGGGCGTGAATGCAGCGTGGCAGGCTGTACCTCTAGAAGAGATCGACAACCTAATCAGGAGCATGGAGAGACAATGTAGGGCTGTAGTGAACAGTAGAGGAGGCCATACCCTTTATTAAGTAAAAATGGTTTTATCTTTTTTTTTTTAATTCACTGTTTAGAATTTAAAAAAAATGTGTGTATTTTTTTGAGTTCAATAAAAATCAAGGTAAATTTGAAAAATTCAATACGTCCTGTAAACTATTTGTTTATTTTAATTTTATTATATCAGAAATGCAAATAATAAAATTACTGACGATGGCTGGATAAAATTGTAATATCCCTAGACTTTTCCGGTGTGTGTATTTATTTGAAGGATGAATATACAGGGTCTGGCAAAAGTGCGTCTAAGTGAAACACCCTGTACATTATTGCATTTTTGGCTTCCTTTCAGATCACTTTACATAATCCTAAGATATAGGTAAAAAAAAATTATAAATTAAATATTTCGATAGTTGCAGAGATAAAAAACCAATAATAATAAATTAACCAAAATAAGTGTGATCTGGTGGATTTTCGTTTTAACTTTCCAGACAACCCTCGTAGTAACTCGGTTAATGTCCAATTTTGTTGTTATTTTCCTTGGTCCCTTGTTATGTCCCTGATAAATCTCAACCGTGGACAAAAGCCGTGGTTTTTCCTGGACAGGCCGGCATTAGAATGACCGATGGCCTGTACAGCGGCCCTGATATATGAGACCCTTTAAGGGCAAACACAGGACTCTTTCATTTCCCATTGGAGCATTTTATACCCGTAAAATCCATCCAGAGTCTGTTATGTTGCAAATATCGTACAACTGAGGTTTTTTAATTAACATCTTAAGTAAATATACTCTTCTTTTATTCGTTTTATCTATGCATATTCTACAGTATATAATAATATCTCTGCAACTATCGAAATATTAAAATAGCTACTAACTGTCAGTAGCAAATTGCCATGGCAACACCAGCCATATTGATTGCTATTTTATTCTAAATGTGAGCCAGATAGGTATAGGAAACCTTAATATAGTGTGAAAGAACATATAAAGTCTGCTTCGATTTATTTTAAAAAATACATTCCTATTTTTATTTAGTGTTGTATTTGAAATAACGAAGTTTTTATGTAAAATAAATCTTTAAAACAGACCAGCAATTTTTTATGCCCCTGTATACATTTAAGAAAGCAATACAATTTTTTAGTAATATTTTTTTCTCTGGCTTCAAAGTCGGCACAAAAATTAACTCTGAAAAGTAATGTACAGGGTGTTGACAAACTGTTTTATTATAGCATCATATCTTTCAATATCTCAAAAACCAAAGCATTTAAACATATTAAACCCTTATAATAAATGCCTTATTTTATGTCCAAGAATCCAAAAATGAAATAAAATACCGGGTGTTCCATAAGAAAAAATATAACTTTGGTACCCAAGTAGCATCTATCTGACTTCGAACTAGATCTGACCTGAAGCGACGTCAGACTTTGTGCAAATTTAGGTCGGGTGCTGGTGAAACGACCGGTGACGTCGTAAATCCAACCATCTGTAGACGTACAAAATAACAACGTACCATTTTTATTAATTTCCCAACGTCGTTCCCACGTTGGCTTGCACGACGTACATATACTTGAACTAGCCCGACGTCTACCCGTTGTCCGAATAGGATACGTCCCACTGATAATCCCTAAAGTAACGTCCAATTATATTTTGTTGTATTTTATGTTCATATTTATAACCTAATTTACGTATCTCTGTTTACGTCCGTAAATACAACCCATTAAGTAGCATTTGCGGCCTAATCTTTGAATAAGAAGACTAAGGAAGGAGCATATCAAAAATCTTAGGTACACCGCGATGGGCCTCAAATATGGCCGACTTAAATTCCGGTTTATCAGTGTCGTTCTAATTTTATTTAAAAAATGTAAAACTATGATGTAGGGTAGACGTGGGGTAGACTCAATAATTTGTTGTTTTATTTTACGTTGTGAATAAATGTTGGTAGTTATTAAATTGTTATAAAAATATATAATTCTAATAAAAAATAGATAAGTTATAATAAGTATTTATTAACACAAACATCCGATACGCTACTGAAGCAGGTAGTAAGTCAAATTAATGTATCCCCTAAATTCTTTGGCATCTAATCTTTGACAAGTAATAAATAAGCTAAAATGCAAGAAAAATATATAATTTAGTTAATTTAAGTGAATTTCATAAATGATCGGTTTACTACACGTATGTATATTATATAGTCACTTACTAGCGAAAAGTTGTTCATTATTTCACTCAATTTTTGCCGAGATCTACCGCACGCTACACAACCAACTATTTTTAGAGTCTTTTTTCGATAAATCACGATAGTGTCACTGTTGTTAATTTAAGTTCTGCCACAATTTCCATCTAGATTTACTACCTTTATACAACTATCAGTAGTAGAATAAATAAAATAACATAAAATAAGCTCCGTAAAGGCTGACAAATCACAACATTTCAAATCAAATTCAAATGTGTCAAATGAATCGTCAAACAGAATTGTTAAGGATCCCCACCCTAGAGAGCTTTTATGGTGGCTTTTCCGCCCACCATGCATGAATACATGGATAGCATTATGCTCCTTCCTTAGTCTTCTTATTCAAAGGGCCTAATGAACATCATGAACATAACCTAATAAACAGTTTTTGTAAACAAACTTAATTTTTTTCTTATGCCTAAAAAAACACTAAAAAGGCATTTAGACATTCATCTACATTTTACAGAAAGCTAATAAATAAAAATAATAATAGTAGTAGTGATGTCTTGCCTCCACCCGTAAATGCTTTTATCCGGAAGAGATGCTACATTACACTGGTGCATCTTAATTTCATTTTTAGCTTAGGATTTACCAGCAGACCCCATCCTCCTCCGACATGTGAGGTTAGGTTCCAATTCTTTTAAAATATATACTATCTTAAAAAAGTGGCTGCCCTTTTTTTAAGGAGAAAACAAAAACTAAAATATAGTTGCACAACAAATCACAAATCAGTGATACGCAAAGTGAGGTTACGTGGCGTACGTTGGAATTATATACGTCATAATACGATTGCCGGTCGTCCGGTTTGATGACTTCGGTCATGTGAGACGACTAATATTGGAGACCCGGTCGGAATTGGGATACTGGTAGTTTGGTTTGGTTTGGTAGTTTGGCTTGTTTTTATTTTGTTTTTACATATTAAGTCGGACACAGGAATCCGCCATTCTTAACAAGTATCCGATTGTCAGCCATTTTAAAATCGTTTTATGTTTTTAAAATTTATATTCACATTCCGATTTCTAGTAGAATAATATTGATAAGGTTGAGTTTGGGGGGAACCACAGTACAGTTTTTATGATTAAACCAGCTAGAAAATAAAAAAATATTTTATGAGTTACTTTTTATAGATATTTTTATTTCATAAATCTACCTAATTTTGAAGGCGCTCGTTGTTTTCCGGAGTATTTTAATCAGATATATAAAAAAAGTGACTTCCGTTGACAAAACTGATGTCTGGATTAATGATTCAGAATTATTATAATATGAAATTAGGTAGGCACTTATAGTTATATTCGAGGGGCGATTATGAATCCATTTGTAATTAGGTAGTTTGGTTAGGTTTTTATGTATTCTTGGTAGCGAATATGAAGCCAAACGTAACGTAAGTACTTAGCGACGAATTTTAAGTAACTAAAATCCAACGTAATATGACGTTGGTAATTGGTAGAATTACATTCCCTATTAGGTCAGATACCGACGTCGAGGCGACCCGAATCTGTATTCCCCATTTAGGTGCAAATAAGGGTCGTCAGGCGGTCGAACCGACGTTGGTACCCGACGTCGTGTTTATAGAACGCGACGTATACCCGACGTTAGATAACGTCCAAATGCTACTTGGGTATGGATAATAGTTCTGACACATCCTGTACATTTCAAAGTAATATTAAATTATAAACATTGCCTCTCAACATATACCCATAAAATATTTTGTTCCTACACTTTTTTCGAATGAGGTGCGCCTCCCTGTATAATATTGGGACACCCTGTATATGGTTTTAGTCTATCTTTTATACATGTCTATAGTAAAACCCGTCAGACAATAGCTGTACTTTAATGGCTACAGCAGAAATAAATCGGGTGAGCCCGTTAAAATTTAATAGCTATGGGCGATAAAAACCAGGTGTCATAAAAACCTAAAACTGTCGCGAAAATTTATGCTTTTTCCTGTAAATTATCGACAAGAATGAAACTCGATCGACGTTTTGTCGATTAAAATAAAATGCGGCCGTAAAAATATCCCAATATTTGACATTTATAAATACAGGGTTCGGGAAAAAAGTGCGTCGGACATTTGTAGCTCCTAGGAGCTAGGTTCCTAGATCCTAGGTATGTACTAGGATGTGTTTCAGGAAAATATTTTAACTTCTACAGGGTGGTTCAAAAAAAAAGTGTGTGTGGATTGGGATGATTTTTTTTAAATGGAACACCCTGTATATTATTGCGTTTTTGACTTCCGTATGCGCGTATAAGTAATTTAAAAAAAAATGAAGAAACACATTACTAAAAATTGTATTAATCAATAATAAATATGTAAAAATTAAAAAAAAACGATTAAAAAAAGTCGCCTTGACTAGGATTCGAACCTGCCTTACTACAGCTCCAACGTAATAGCAGCGTAAAGTCCTAATGCTTTAACCACGTGGCCACCGAGGACTTCTATGTAAAATTCTTACTTAAAAGATAATATTTAGTAAAAGTACTTTTTTATTTATAAACATTTATTTAATTCTGTTTTTAGTATTTGTTCTTATAGCGGCAACATAGATACATTAACTGTAAAAATTTCAACTGTCTAGGTATAACGGTTCATAAGATAGACCTTAGTGACAGACGGACGGACTGACAGCAAAGTCTTAAGGATGATTCACGGTACACCGGACCGTACCCGAGCCGGGCACGTTCCGTAAAGTAGACACCGAGCCACGTCCGGGCCTTCAATATATGCAACACCGAGTGGACAACGGGGATCATGTCCGTGCCACTTGTGTCTAGCCCTAGCAGGCAACTGTTAAGCCCGATCAATCACGTTAGAGTTTTTGACAAACACAAATGAATTAACACACTCCAAATAACCACGCTAACCAACCTGATTGGTCAAGCTTAATAGTTGACGGCTAGGACTAGACACTTCTGTCCGTGCCGATTATATTCTAAAAAACAGTGTTGCCGCAGTGCCAAATTTGATACTTTTAATTCTATTTGGTACAGTGGTACTACATTTTCAAATCCAGGATGATTCGGTACAATAATTATTTCCCACGCGCACCGAAAATGAATAGATATTTAATAATTATCGTCGTTGATATTGCATTAAACGCGCTTACCGATACCATTCGGAGACAATCCGCATTAATTAACGACGTATTATAAACGTTGTAATGTCTATAGGGTTGCTTATATTAAATAACCCGAAGAAAAAACTTAAAAATTTGCTGCTTCTGACATGCTTCTATATTTGCGTTTTTTTTAATAAAATTTAAGTTTTCCAAGTATCGTGTGTAGTATTAGAATTACTTACATTTCTTCAACCTATACATACTTATAATTGGGTTTTCTGAATTTCTATTTCATGTTTTTCGTCTCGATTTTTGTCTTTTCCAGGAAGTTTTTTATGTAGAAATTTATGAAGAAATTCACAACGACCAAACCGGTTAAAGTCATTTGCAGATGTATTTTGTTGTGCTTTAAAAAATTGTACCAAAGTGGTACATTTTTAGTTTATAATGTGGTACGCGCTAAAAGTTGGGTGCGGCAACACTGCTAGAAAACAGTCGCTATAGGCCCGTAGACGAACGTAGTATTTAGCCGCAACGGGGCCGGAACGTAGCGGATCCGAGGAAAAATGTACACCAACATTTCTTGGACGGGGCACGGACGCGTTCCGGCGAAGCTCGGACCGTGCTCGGCTTAGCATGAATGTATAAGTATAAATAACATTTGACAATGTTTGGCCGTGCCTTCACCGTCGCACGGCTCCGGCCCGTCACGGTGTAACGTGAATCATCCTTAAATAGGGTTCCCGTTCTTACCCGTTTAGGAAAGAGAGGGGACAGCTAACATGCATATTCTCCAGTGAAAAATTTTTGAGGCCAAAATTTGGTCGGCGGCCATACTTTGGTGACAAGATTTCGAGGTGACACCATTAATTCCAAGTAGTATTTTCAATATCTTATTTTATAATTAATGTTTGAAACTTGAATAATGCTACTCAGACAGGATTTCTTCAGTGGCGTAGGGTATTATAATCAGAGAAATACAATTTCTGCAATAAACATTTTTTATATATTTTACATGTAAAAAAATGTATATAGTATTGTTATCAAATATGTAAAATAATAATTGTAAACTATAAAAAAAACATGAAAAATTTTGGTTATAAAAAATCTATATGTATAACTGTTACATAAAATTTAAATTTACCTGCCAAGATTTGCTAGGGGTGGACAAACTTGGGATGGGCTACTTGTTACAATATTTTTTTAAATATCCTTTCAAAAAATTTGCTAGTTTAGGTGTATAATAATAGTTTCATTGAGAAATTAATAAAAATTTAAAAATAAATAAATAAAATAATACAAAGCTGCTAGAATAATTGTTTATTTTTTTGCGGAAAATTAGGTAAAATTACATTTGCGTAAAATTACATTATTTATTGAATCCGTAGGCAAGTGTGAAGGGGATTGGCTAGATTCATTATTATACCGTATGCTCGAAAAAAAAACGGCGTCCAGTTGGCTTGTAAATGACTGTCGATACATATATATGTATAATAATATACAGTGGAACACCCTGTATATTATTGTCATTCCCTAGCCGTCTTAGACGCCGTTTTCTTTCGATCGTACGGTATTATCCAACGTTTTGCAGAGGATATCATTAAAAACCATACATAATATGTATATAAGAGCCTAAGTACCGCAGAAAATGCGAACACTTAATATATGCAAAATACTTTCTCTCCGGCAAAAACCTTTAAAAATCAGTTTATATCTGCAACGATGCAGAAAATGCAGTCCGGCAAGATTTCGGCGTAAAAATGGTTCTTAATTTATGCAAACAATCGGGTTTCAATGAATATATCTCCCTGTTAGTAGTTGTATTGTTTTAAAAATTGTGCTTTATATGTAAGTAATAACATAATAATTAGTACAAATATATTTTCTAGTAATCAATAGTTATTTAGTGATTATATTAAAGTTTAATAAAAAGTTTGTAGGCACTTCTTTTAGTTTCAAAGTAAAGGGATTTTTCCAATTTTTCTTTTATCTAAAAAACTGCGACTTTGACTGATTTCGATGTTATTACAAATTTTGTTGCAAATATTATTCCTAATCTTAAATTGAAAACCGCGTTTCGCTAGCTACTGTAATTTTGGAGTTACGATTTTTTTAAATTTTTAACCCCCTCCCATACCCCCTTACCAACCCCTCACCCCCACCAAAAACTAATGGCCAGATTCTCGGGTGCCACAGTATTTTTGTGCCAAATTTGGTTAAAATCGGTTTAGCGATTTTTGAGTTATCGTGTTACAGACAGACAGACAGACAGAGACCATGAAAATATTTTGTATTTAAACTGTATTCAAATTCAAAATGCACCAATATAAACAAATGCACAGTGCGTGATCAGCACGTGTCAGGCGAGAGCCAGCGGCGAAATCTACCCTGATTGGCCGGCCAGCCATAGAGCCGTTGAGGTAGGCGGTTGAGATTTTTTACAGGGTCGGCTTGCATAGCGCGTTAAGGAATACTCTTTGATAAAATAAAAATGCTTTTTAAATTTATTCCCAACCAAGCGAGTAAAATCAGAACGGTCAACTATTTCAATAATAATTGTTGATCACTTCGTACAAGTTACAAGTTACAAATAGAGAAATAATTATTTATGTTTGCATAAAATATTTTTACAATTTAGTACACACGTACCTACTACAAAATGTCAAAAGTTATATATTTTATATAAAATTATTATTTTGTAAATGTTAATAAAATTATAAATTTTGTAAATCTAATGTTAATAAATGTTATGTTTAAAAATAGAAGTTTTTATTTGACTAGTTTTTCAAAAAAATGTCGTTATACTTTAAAACGAATAATACAGCAGGCTACGAAAGCAAGTTAAAACTAAGTGCTTTTTTTGTCAACTAAAATGTATTAAATTATGTTATAATGCAATTGGTCTTTTAAATGATGTAAAAACGTTTACATCACTGCATTTTTTACAAATAGTATTTTAGAAACAGATACCTATTTATACCGATATTCAGATATTGCTGTCAATAATGGAAATAAAAAAATCAGTAGTACCAAATAAAAAGATAATTATTTTAAAGGACAAATTAAGCCCTTTTAAAAAACACCAAATTTGTTGAAATCGGTCGTGCCAAAGAGTAACGTAATATTTTAATATTCCCGTCCCCTTCCCATCACTTTATTTCTACATCTAATTATATATGTAGTTTGATAATAATTAAAGGTAATTATTGAGAAAACTGGAAATCGCGTCCGATTTTCACCAAAATTGGTATACACCCTATTTTGAGATCGTAGATTACGAATCTGAACATTTTTCCTGGCGGTCTCTTACCGTTTTTCAGAAAAACGGAAAATAGTTTCAACATAGAATTTTACTTAATTTCTGATATTTTTAAGGTTTTCTCGCACATATTTTGTTAGGTATTCAATAAACAATAAGGTTTTTGCTATTTTCTGTTACTTTTTTAACCAATTCTATGCATAATAGAGGAAAATTTGCTAAAATAAATTTGTAAACAATCTAAAAATGTTGGGTTATGTGTTTCTGGCATTTAAAGCAACGTCGCCAATGCTGAACGTAAATTTAGTGTGTTTTTTTCGCTCATTCTGGGATTACGAAAGGCGGTTGCCTGAGGAACGGCTCCCTCCCATATCTGCTATTTTACTAACGAAATCTGACTATTTATAACCACGAAGTGGCACGAAAGATTTTTGTTTGGTTTGGTTAGGTCATTTTTGTTTGGTTTGCCACAACTTCTATGCGGAGGGTGTTAATCTTTTTTGTTATATTATATAAAAAAAAGATTAAACCCTCCGCAAAGAAGTTGAAACCAATGCAATCAAAACTCTTTCATGCAACTTCGTGCTTATAAATATTATTTATATAACTTCTTTGCGAAGGGGTTTAATCTTTTTTTAATATAATATAGCATAAAAATATCAACCCCCTAAGCATAGAAGGTGAAAGCAATGTAATTAAAATTCTTCCGCGTAACTTTGTGGATATAGGTATATTTAACTATTGTCAAATCTCATAATAGGTAATTTATTTAAAATCACCCGAAAAAATTGAAATATTTGTCTCTCTCATTACATAGGAGAGAGAGAGAAGAAGAATATGAAATGTCAAACTTCCATCTGGTCTCAATTTTCTTAGTTATTTTGTTAAGAAAAGTGTTTTTCAGTAAAATTTTGGACATTTTTCAATCCTCAATCAAGTGTGGCTTTTAGATAAACTATGATATAATAAAAATATAGTGAAATTATTACTTTATAGGGCTGAAATAAAGAAAAATTCAATGTTGAAATTATTTTCCATTTTTCTGAAAAACAGTAAGAGACCTCTGGTTGGTTAGGTTTGATCAGATTCGTAATCTACGACCTCAAAAAAGGGTGTATACCAATTTTGGTGAAAATAGGACGATTTCCAGTTTTCCCAATAATTACCTATTTATATAATATAAATTTCCATCATAAAATATAAACAATATTAAAAAATCATAAAAATATACATAACAATTTTATGATTTGAAATATCCGACCTTAGTGCGGTCCTGGTTATATTAATACAGCGTTCCTGTTCACGTGCTTGCCTCATGTCTCTGTTTACGTTTGGTGCATCTTGGGGTTGAATTTACTGTAGGACATTATTAACCATACAAAACAAAGATAGGCAATATACAGTGTGTTCCTTAATGGCATGCTTATATTTAAGGGGGTGATTCTTGGGCCAATTCTAAAAAAAAGCTTCATAAGGATCTATGTCCTAAACATCTTAATTTTTGAGATATAGGGTGGTAAAAGTTTCTTAAAAAACCTTTTTTTTCGAAATATCTCTGATGATATTTTAGATATACAGGGTTCGGCAATAGTGAGTCGGGCATATTATGTATATAGCTCATAGATTAAAAAACTTGAAGAATGTACGGTGATATATTTCAGGAAAAAAAAAGTGTGAGTGGATTGGGATGATTTTTTTTGAAATGGAACACCCTGTATAGTATTTTGGGGTTCCTTTCAGTTTACTTTACATAATCCTAAGATATTATTAAATATGTTTCGATAATTTGAGAGATATTAATAAATTAAAAAAATATATATATTTTTCAAACTTCCTTAAAAAAAATATTAAAAATACAAGAACTGTCCTGAAATCAAAATTATATTAAGTATGTCTTTAGATAGTCCGTGCTTACTTTGCTATAAATATCGTAATCTTGAAGCATACAGGGTGTTCAAAATTCTACGCCAAACTTTCTAAAATATAAAATAATTTTTCTTTGATTTTTTTTAATGGAACACCCTGTATCTTATATTTTATTAGATAGAGAGTTAAAAAATGAACATTTTTTATATTTAAAGTATTTCAAAATTTTTAATGGTTTTGCAGATACGCGCAGTATTATTTCACATGGCTCTTTCAACAAAAGTTACTGTGAAAAATGCCATATGAAATATAAAACGAATATCTGCGAAACAGTTAAAAATTTTGAAATACTCTAAATAGAAAAAATATTCATTTTTAATTCTCCATTTATCGAAAAAATGTTATACAAGGTGTTCCATTTAAAAAACCGAAGAAAAATTATTTTGTATTTTAGAAAGTTTCGCGTGGAATTTTGGACATCCTGTATGATTTACGATTACCATATTTATAGCAAAGTAAGAATAAAATAACATAGTTTTGATTTCAGGACAGTTCTTGTATATTTAATAATTTTTTGAAAAAGGCTGAAAAATATATATTGTTTATTTTTTTATTAATATCTCTGAAACTATCTAAATATATTTTATTTAGTCATACCTTAACTACTAGCGGGTAAATGAATTTGTAGATATATTACGAATTTTCTTGGAACTTTAGTTTCGGAGATATAAATTTAATCGGACCTTTTTAAAAAAAAATAATTTTATTTTTCAGAAACTATTAGAGACAGAGTTTACCAAAAATGCTTTTTATATCTACTAGTGGGTAAATGAATTTGTAGATACTATATTACGACTTTTCTTGGAACTTTAGTTTCGGAGATATAAATTTAATCGGACCTTTTAAAAAAAATTAATTTTATTTTTCAGAAACTATTAGAGACAGAGTTTACCAAAAATGCTTTTTATAACTACTAGTGGATAAATGAATTTGTAGATATATTACGACTTTTCTTGGAACTTTAGTTTCGGAGATATAAATTTAATCGGACCTTTTTAAAAAAAATTAATTTTATTTTTCAGAAACTATTAGAGACAGAGTTTACCAAAAATGCTTTTTATATCTACTAGTAGGTAAATGAATTTGTAGATATATTACGACTTTTCTTGGAACTTTAGTTTCGGAGATATAAATTTAATCGCACCTTTTAAAAAAAAAATAATTTTATTTTTCAGAAACTATTAGAGACAGAGTTTACTAAAAATGCTTTTTATATCTACTAGTAGGTAAATGAATTTATAGATATATTACGACTTTTCTTGGAACTTTAGTTTCGGAGATATAAATTTAATCGGACCTTTTTAAAAAAAAATAATTTTATTTTTCAGAAAGTATTAGAGACAGAGTTTACCAAAAATGCTTTTTATATCTACTAGTGGGTAAATGAATTTGTAGATATGTTACGACTTTTCTTGGAACTTTAGTTTCGGAGATATAAATTTAATCGGACCTTTTTAAAAAAAATAATTTTATTTTTCAGAAACTATTAGAGACAGAGTTTACCAAAAAAAAATATATAAAGTGATCTGGGAAAGGATGCCAAAAATGCATATAATATACAGGGTGTTCATCAAAAATCATCCCAATCCACTCACCCTATAGAAGTTAAAATAGTTTCCTGAAATACAACATACTTTAGGTTGGCATTTTCACAACGATATATGTCATTTTTTTCAGAATGAATTCTTCTACTAAATAAAGTAAAACAATACCGAGGGTAAAAATCAAAAGTTGTAGTCATTTCCGGTGAAACAGGAAACTAATTGAATACGTCAATCAGTCCTGATTTATGACATATACACAAATACCAAATCTTGTATTTTTTAACTAGCAAAATAAGAAAGTTATATGTGTGAGCCACATTTGAAAAACACCCGGTACAAGAAAAAATAAATACATAATTTTGGGATTCTATATGCTTTTTAAAGAAGGCTTACTGGCCCATATTCCTAAATAAAATCTCCATCTTGCTACTTAGCATTAAATCGGGCAACGCTGAATAAAATATGTTTTAGCTCTGGTTATTAAAACATTCCCTTCGCAATTTCTGCGTTCAAGCCCTTTTTGTTGCAGGAACTTGCAAAGTACGGTGTATACCAAATGGAATTTTAAGTATATTAAATTCCTGCAGAATTCCCGAAAACATCTTCTCCTAAGTTGTTTTTATTTGCATACTATTTTAGAGTTAGATTGCAACAGGAGATGCGCGATATTCATGTTAATTTCAAATTCACAAAGTGTACATATTTTTGCCTTTTTTTTTAGTTAGTTATTCTATAATAATATTTTCATGTATTTTAAAGTTTTATACAGGGTGTTTCAAAACAAATGCGAAAAACTTCAGGGGGTGATTCCTTGTTCAAAATAAAGGGTAGTTTGCTTCATATACGTTGGGTCAAAAGTCAACCATTAGGGAGATATCGCGGTACAAAGATGGCGGAAAAATAATGTTTTTATTTTTTATCTTGAAAACGAAAAGAGATAGACTAATGAAATTTTATGGAAGCATTACTGTTATGAAAACACACTTTCAGGTAATTTTTTTATTTTTTAAAATGAGTGGAAGGGGTTGAAATAAACTACCCTTATCATTCTTGTTAACGAAATTTAAAGAAAAATCTTATCAAACACATGCAAATGCTTTAATTTGAATAGTTTAGTTTGTTTAGAAACTTTTTTACCTCTTGTGTTTTTTTGATAATACTCACCGATTGGAAATTAAAAAATAAAATGTAAAGCATTACATGTCAGGACAAAAAACATTTCCCATCCCATACCCAGAAAAACACCCCCATACCACGATTGAGCCCCCACCATGTTTTACAGTGGGTCGCGTGTACTTTGGTAGCAATCGTGTGTTGGGAGGTCTTCTTACATGTTGAATTCCATCTGATGACACCAAATTAAACTTTGATTCATCACTAAAACAAACTTTTTTCCATTGTGCCACAGTCCAGTTTTGATATTCCTTGGCAAATGCTAATCGGGCCTTCAAATTTTTTTTTGATAGCAGTGGTTTCTTGGCGGGTCTTCGGGAAAACAACTTCTGGTCAACTAATTTACGTCGGATCGTCCTTGTACTCACTGGTGGATAGCCCATTTTTTCAAGTTTTGCTTTTATCTTCGTTGACGGAAAAATGGATCTTGTGAAGAAATTCGTTTTATGGCTTTTATCATATTGGGACCAACTTTTTTAGGTCGTCCTGGTTTTCTTTTTATAGAGACATCTCCTCTCTCATTATATCTCTTTAAAATATAATGTACCGCTGATTTTCCAAGGCGTAATTGCTTAGCGATTTCCGATTGCTCCAAACCATCCTTAAAGGCATTCACTACTCGCAACTTAAGATCTGCAGACAAGTTAATTCCACGTGGCATGATATATCACAAGAGCTCAAATGTTTTTAAATCGCAATTGTTCATAAAAGCAGAACAAATGAAACTAACAATTTTTAAAAATATTTGGTTCATCTATTTTTGTCCAAGAGAAAAAAGCAATATTTGCCAATTATTCTTATCTATAAATGATAAGACTAACAGAAGAATTTATATTTGTTTGTAGTATTTTGGTGAAAATGTATTAAACTTTTAACATACAAAGGTACATAAAATAATTTTGATATTTAACACCTCAAATCTGATTTTCTTCGCAATTATTGGTATTGGTTCATCCACCTTTGGCCAATACTGTATGTTTCTAACACGTTTTTTTCTTCAATCTTTTCAGATAACCTCTTCACTCCATGCTCCAATCTCTTCAAATCATCACCCACCATGGACGCTCTGGGCAATCTCACCCGGCACTTCAACGACACAGACTCCGAGGAAATTCAAGAGAGCAGCTTTTCATGGGTGATGAATGCCATCCAAACCATCCTCTTCGTGGTGGTCTGCGTGGTGGGCTTGGTCGGAAACACCCTCGTCATTTACGTGGTGCTCCGCTTCTCCAAGATGCAGACAGTCACTAACATGTACATTGTTAATCTGGCCATAGCCGATGAGTTTTTCCTCATTGGGATACCTTTTCTTATTACCACCATTCTGAATGGTCAATGGATCTTTGGGCATTACGTTTGTAAGGCTTACATGATCACCACGAGCATCAACCAGTTTACCAGCTCGATTCTACTATGTATCATGAGCGCCGACAGGTATATAGCAGTATGCCATCCGATTTCTTCACCAAAATGGCGTACACCGATGATATCAAAGATCGTAGCGTTCTTCGCTTGGTTCTGCAGTCTATTACTGATGGTCCCGATCGTAGAGAACGCTCAGGCAGTAGTGTCGGACGACAACAAGACCACCTCCTGTGTAATAAACTGGTTTGTCACAGACGAGAACAATACTTTGACCACGAATTCAACCGAGAGCCTCGATTCATCATTGATACCCGCTCCAACTTTGTTCCTCATCTACACTTTCATTTTCAGTTTTGCTATACCGTTATGCTTGATTCTGTTCTTCTACTGTCAAGTTATCAAGAAACTGAAGACTGTAGGGCCTAAAAACAAGTCCAAGGAGAAGAAGAAAAGTCACAGGAAGGTTACTAACTTGGTTCTAACCGTTGTGACTGTCTACGTGATTTGTTGGTTGCCGTATTGGATAACGCAGTTGACCTCAGCTGCAATACCTTCAGCTACACCATATACGTAAGAAATCTTCTGAAATATCAATATACAGGGTGGTCCGAACTGTATTCCGGAAACTTCACCAGCATAGTCTACAGATAAAGGAGTCATATTGATAATTCTCATATTAAAAAACTTCCAGACACAAATTTTCATCAAAATATTGACGTTACTTCAGAAATTATTTGGAGAAAATAAAAATAAAAATAAAACTTCTACACCCTGTATCTCGGAAACTAAACATTTTAGGACATACATTTATACGAACTTTTTTACTCATTTTTATCTGCAGAATATGCTGCCGAAGTTTCCGGAATACAGTTCGGACCACCCTGTATAGGGAAATCAATAAATGTTGGCATATACGTCATGGCTTTTCAATAAAAGTCGCAAAAGTTAAGCAACAATATCAGTTTTTACATCTCTATTGCAAGTTAATAGCAAAAGAGGCTCATCATTATCTCTTTCTTGTTCAAAATAACGAGTAGAAGCAAGACAAGTTAGTTTTGATGTCTTTGATGTGTGCACGCCACCTTTTATTTATTTCTTTGTAACAAACACTTTTTTTCTTAAAAATTGAACAATATTTCAGGTTTACTGTAACCCTGCATATACTGGCCTCATGTTTAAGTTACTCGAACTCAGCTGTTAACCCGATACTTTACGCATTCTTGAGTGACAACTTTAAGAAGAGCTTCCTCAAGGCTTGCACGTGCGCCGCCAACAAGGATGTCAATGCCACTCTTCACCTGGAGAATAGTGTGTTCCCCAAAAAATCCAAGGCCTCGTCTGATAGGTCAGTTCAACAGATTGAGAAACGGTAATCATTACTAACCTACTAACAAAAGTAACACTTTCAAGATGATGTTTATTTCTTATACTATTTTATTACATACCACATTTAAAGAAAAGCAAAAATATCCCTTGAACCGTCTTAAGAGTCCATTTCACTATAGTCCGTAAAAGTAGCAAAAATAAGCGTTCGGTATTTAACGTTATATTACATTAAGCAGATTTCTGAAATATAATATATCAGGTGTTGCATCGTCGAGCGGGACATAGAAAATCCCATGTAAATTTTAATTGGGTCAATTATTGGCTTCCCTAATTATTTTAGAGAATAATTCTATTTAGGTTTATTGAAGAGCACTAAAACCCACATTCAAAAGAATAACTTTAGATATTTTTGATTAGCTCGTTTACGAGTTATGGCCGATTTCTTTTTAAATATTTCTCCTTTCTTATGGACCTGTATTTATTTATGAGCACCAGTCAAGGTAAATTTATCTATTTAGTGCTTTGTTATTATTATTAAAAACTCATACCTACATCGAAAATATTAGCCATGAATTACACTACCGAAGAAAAAGTATTGATGATTAAATGATATTATCAAGGAAATAGTTACCAAAAGGTGTCGGACATTTTTACTGCTCTGTATCCGAATAGACCGATACCTGGAAAATCTACAATCGCAAGGAATATCCAGAGCTTTAAGACCAAAGGTACCCTAATAAATAACTGCAGATGTGAAGCAAGGCAGGAACAAAGAGAAGATGCAAGAAATGATACCGACTTGGAAGTTTTATTGTGCGTAGAAGAGAACGATGGAAAGATCAGCACAAGGAAACTTGAGGATGAAATAGGAATAGATCACACTACAGCGTTTCGAATTTATTACAACAGAGACTTTAATTTGATAACTTATTATTATATTGATTTCTGACTCAAATCCACATTTATTTATAATAATTTATTAACGAACACAATTAAGTATGTCATTAATTTACTAATTAATGACATACTTAATTATGGGCGGAAATAATGGTGTTATATTTAATTAATGGTATACTCTTTTATAAAGATTTAAATAGTTTTCTTTTTGCATACAAATGGGCTAGTAATATCATCGTTTCGCTAAAAACGATAATATTACTAGTCTGTACATTTTGTACATTTGTTGCTTTAAAAACAATCTAAAATGTCAGTATTCCATGGATATATTGATAAATGAGGTCTAAATTAAAAGAAAATGCATTTTCTACGAAAACTTGAAGGGATAGGTAAAAAATGGTATAATACAATTTGATAGACAATTTAATTGTGCATCTGATTCTCCTAAAATATACAGGGCATTCCATTTAAATTAAAGAAGTTATTGCCGTTTGAAGCTAATAATTATTACATTAATTATTAAATATACTTCATTAAATATTTAGTATTAAAAACATTGATACCCTTGGAGAAATGAAGCTTTAAAATTTTTACTGCAATTTCACAAAATTGTAAATATTTCAAAAACGGTAAGGTTTAAGTATAATAAACCTTAATCAAATTTACCTTTATTTTAATCGTAGAAACTAAAAATGTAATAATATACAGGGTGTTCCATTTAAAAAAAATACAACTTTGATATTTTTTATTTATTTGGGACACTCTGTATCTTGTAAAAATATTTTTAAATTGTAGCTCTAATAGTCCTTCAACGAACCCCAAACTTACAATTTGTAAAAATCTCATCGTTTAGCCACAATACTCCGTGTCGTATGTGGTGAACAACCCTGTATAGTGAAATGGACTCTAAGACGAAATTCGAAAATTCGAACCACGAAAAACAATAAAGAAAAAACAAAGTTTATAATCTGTATAATCTGTGGTAATAGACTCTTAAAAATAATTCTGGTTAAGCATCAAACAGTTTTAACAAAATTAAAAATATTGTTACGTTTTTCGTCGGTTCCGTGTGGATAGAAAGTCACAATTTATTTAAACACTATTTATTTAACACTAATTAACAAAAACAATAACGATAAAAGACTTATAGAACTATTTACAAACGACTTATAACTAAGAATATATTTTGAATTTTAGCGCGTCAACTGCCACTCGTCGATTTATAACTGCCCTCTCTAGGCACAGCCGCCGGCTTTTATACCTACAGCTAAAAGAACTCTAGAATAGTCCATAGATCGTTAAGTGCATAGAGAAGGTTTCGATTGTTCTCGTATGTACTACTCCATTCCAGTGGAACTCGTTTCTTCTCGAATCTTCGAATTCGAATAACCTAACTATATAGCCCGAGGGCGGGCTATATAGTTAGGTTAGGTCGAGTCCACACCGGTCCGCAACAATATTAACTCTTCCTTCCTTATTTATATTTGAATCCGTTTGCCTAATACGTAAGCATGTATCAGCTTCTCAAGAAAGGCCATCTCACACTTATCCACTCAGGAACGCGGAGCAAGATCTTTATCTACCTACCCCACGCTCAGAATTAGTTAAAAGTTCAATATTATACAACTCGAAAAAAATGCACAATCACCTGCCATTTGAAATCAAATCCATAACATCATTTTTTTCATTTCGCAAAGCATTGAAATCTTATTTACTAGACAAAATGACTTATATTTTGATGATCGAATTTGATCTTGTAATCACTGGTCTAATATTTGCTAAAATATAGAAAATATTTTTGAATCTTATTTTTATTTTTTTATTCTTTGACATTGTAAACATTTATAAATGTTTATTTTATACAATAAGACCGACAATCTAATTTGTTTACTTGTTTTGTATTCTCCTTTGTTTGTTTACTCTATCTTTGTCTACAAATTATAAATTTTTTTGACAATAAAGGCATTTTTTATTTATTTATTTACACGTTTTAACACAGAATTCTTTAAAATTTTCAGATACAGATCAACTAGAAACACCTCCACGTGCCACAACGATGAAGACGAGTGTGACGTGGGACCCCTGGTCAAAAACGACCCTTCCACATCAGCCATGACGCTGACCAGCAGGATGACCATCAACACGGCGGGGGAGAGCAAAGAGTTAAAAAACGGGACAGCGCCCAACAACCAATCGCAACCGACAAGCTTATAATCGTGTATGAGTGGGTCTACTTCAGAAACGATGAGGAGTTCTTGTAGTGTACACCGGTACGGACACTGTTTTTCGGTGTATCAAAAATTCTAAGTTGGTAATGCAGTTCTACCGCGAATTGCTTGATGTTTGAAGCTAATTTTGGAGTTAAATAATACTCTTTTATTTTTACAGACCTTGGTTTATTTAACTGACTTTTTATGAAAAATAAACATTGCCAGTGAAGTTTTCTCAGTGTAGATTGGTTTGAACACTTTTTTTTCAGTGTATACCGGGTGCGTCTTAAAAGTGGCTCACCCCTATACTTTTTTTGATTTTTTCAGATAAAAAAAACGAGATTTGGTATGTTAGTGTATGACATAAATTAGGATTGATTGACGTATTCAATTGTTTAGGTCACTTCCTGTTTCACCGGAAATGACTACAACTTTTGATAGTTAAATGGCACCCTCGGCCAGTGCCTTCTATTAAAAGATTAGCCTACGGGCGAGTATTATGACGTCACGCTAGTTAGATATAACGGATTAATAAATATGTTGTAGAATACATGGAAAACATAATTATTCCTCAGATTTTTGGTTTGTATTTTAAAAATGATATAGTTTACATGAAATATACATAATATACTGTTAATAACTACAACATATATACCTATTTATAGTAATAAATACTTTGGCAAATAAACTATGAACCATACAAATGCAGCAGCAAATGTTTTACAATGTACAAATAATGTATAGGTACATAAGATAATGGATAAAATGTAAATATATTTTAAATTTTGGGGTTTGAAAATCGATTTAATTTAACAAAAAACATTCAATATCTACTAATAGTGATGTATTATTATTTGCATTTACAAAATTTATATGTATATTTTGCAAGTATCAATGTTCGAAAATTTATATTTACAAATAATACAATATTATCTAAAAAAGGCGTCAGCGATGGCTATGAAATGAAGATCGCTGGCATTTTATATGTAAAAAAAACGTTTCGGCTAACTATAGCTTTCATCAGTGTTGTGTCATATGAGAAAAATAGTGTCGAATATAATCCAAAAAATTACATATACAATATAATTCACACCTCATAATGTTTACTGCAATTAATAAACTAATATAAACTTATCAAAAGATGACCACATATTTTTTTAAATTATTATTCTTAACACTAAAATTTTCTACATTGACTATGGAGTACGCAGTAAACATTATGTGCGTGGTGTGAATATTTTATATGTAATTTTTTGGATTATATTCGACACTATTTTTTTCATATGACACAACACTGTTGAAGGCTATAATGTTAGCCGAAACGTTTTTTTTTTAAACCAAATAAAAATAATTAAAAACCAAATGAAAACTTAATCAGCGTTTTTCCCGAACCTAAATCCCAAGAAAATCAAAAAATTTAGAATATTTAGAAACAAGGTTCAAGAATATCAAATTTTCCAAGATTGTAAAATTCTAGTTAATTATTTTATGTGTACAGTTATTTAGGGAATGTCATCAATGTTAATTTCCAAGCCAACTAGACGCCGATTTCTTTCGATAATACGGTATAATTCTTACGTAAAATGTAAATAACATTAGACCAATTAAAACAAAGAAATATGAATTTCTTAGTATTTTTAGTAACACCTTTATTCTTAAAACTTAATTTTGTATTATGCAAATATACCAATTTTATTGTTATTTTATTCATATTGTATTCAGCCATCACTTAAATATTTGATATTAATTTGGTATTATAAATAATCAACACTATTCATTAAAAATTACTGAACAAATATATGTTGTGCTTGACATACATTATATATTATCAAACAAAAACACATTCTTCTTTTAAACTGTATCAGTCTTGTCTTTACAAAAATCTTTTTTAAAATTTGAACTCAAAATAATAATCTTTTTCATGATCTTTAATACACATATTCTTTATTTTTCCCTAGATCATAATACCTACTTACGTGTTTGAATCTATCGAAGCTGAACCAACAACACTTGGAGTGGAGATTCCACAATATGAACAAAATAAACATAATTGTCCAGTTTTCATTAATACTATCATGGGAGAATATTATTTTTAAATTTATTAAAGATACTTTCAATAGAATTCTCTTGATTTATAACTCGTACCCACTTTTCTTGCTCTTCCGGACACTTTAGGCTGCCTAGTATAACTATCCTTTCCACCAGGAACACAACAAAGATGAGGCATAGCACGAAAAACACACTCCACTTAAGCTTTATTGATGAATTGTTAGAGTCTTAAAAAACACACATAAAAATCACGATACGTAAAAAATGTGTGGGCACTTTTAGGTTAAATCACTTTACACAACGTGTAATTTTTCAATTTTTCTATTTTTTTATGCGAAACCGAGAGTGACCATATATCTGGTAGTTTATGTCACTTAAACACCAAAATAATTAGTTTTTTGTACTACAATAATAAATAATACCAAAAATCAAAGAGTTAAAACCAAAAATCAACCGACAAAATATGAAACGGAATCTAACCCAATATCTAAGTATGTACAGCTGATGAAGTAAACAAAAGTCCGCCCCCAGGCCGATCTTTTAAAAGAAGGCACTGCCTCGGCATATTTTTACATTATTCTATACAAAATGACACTCTGAATAGAATAACATATTATATGTCAACTTTTGACATGCACGCTTAAAAAATCGTATTTTAAATTGCAATCTAAATCTAGAGGGCCATGGATGTGTTAAAAACACTAATTTTTAATCAAGGAGCCTTGGAAAAATAGATTTCATCGTCTAATGTTTTTCGTGCTTTGTTGTGGCCTGTTAAAAGATGCCCAACTCGTATTTTGAACATATCTCAATTTTTTCAAATGGAACAAGGGTGGCTCATTCGCATATTTGGAAAAAGCATTTTTTATGAATAATTTGGTACCAAACACTTGGTATTTCGTGTCAAATTGTCGTTATGAACCGCGTGATACAATTCCAAATAAACCATATACGAAAATGCCAAAAGTTGGCATATAATATGTCATTTTATTCAGAGTGTCATTTTCTATCGAATAAAGTAAAAAAATACCGATGCACAGTGCTTCGAACATATGGCTCTAGAGGACAAAAATCCAAAACTTCTCTTTTATTGTAAGCAATTTATTCAAACTAGGTTTATTTGACACAAATGATGAGTACGCTCATTGTACTAAATGATGATGTTCTTAGTCCCACGTTTATGAAAAAAAAATCTTATAAATAATAATAATGTTGGAGCTGTGTTCCATCTCAGAAAATAATAAGTTATAGTATGAAAACGGTGTAAGTATTAAATAAATTCCTGTGATAAAAAAGAATTGAAATAACATTAGAACATGATTCCTACAATGTAAGCCTAATATAAGATAAAAATGTTTTTCTTTAATGAAAAAGAAACATTAATGTTATATTTAATTAAAAAAAAACTTAAGATATTATAAATTTACTTTAGGACAACAAAATGCATAGATCGTAACTACTCTGATTCAGGAGAATCACTGCTGACAGAATCTTCCAAATTTATAGTATCCAAATCACAGGTAGATGAAGTATCCTCACATATAAGATATTTCTGTACTTCATTTTCTAATATGTTACTTTTTCGCGCTGTTACTGTTCATTTTGTCGGTATGAGGGGTTCGGATGTTAATAGTTACATCTTTAATAGACCATATCCATATATTATTTTTTCCTTTTCTTGGGTATGAGATTTTATAATAAATTGAAAGATGGACACTTTTTTTATGCGACGTTTCGCTCCAACATAGTGGACTTTTTCAGGCACAAGTGGTGTCTCGTTTGACTGGAAGGTTCATCAATATCTAATAAGAACATATTTTTTGAAATACAAATAATTTTGAGTTCTTGTCCTTATGATCAAGCCAAGTATTAGCCAGATCGACATTGCTTATCAATTTTACTCCATCTGAAAAGTATTATAAAATAAAGTTCGTCGCAAGCAGACGCAGGTGAACTATACAAAAATTAAAAGTGTATGAATATGGCAACAAAAATATTCAATAAATACGATATGTTTTGATATGTTTTTTTTATGCCTTTTGATGTTTGAAAACGTAAAATTTTTATATCCATTTAAGAATCATCTTAAAAATAAATAAAAACTAAACAATCACGAACTTGTTTAGAAATAAATTTAAAGTACATACCTTATTTAACAATATCCATAGTGGCTTTCAATTAAGTACGTACCCGTTTAACTCCATAATATACAGAACTACTATGAATGTTATTCTTTTCACTGATGAGATAATGATCGCAAAATTTATTTTTAGTGAAAATATTTGCTAACAAAAACGCTGTTTATGAAAAATAATATACAGGATGGTTGAACATTGCTATAAGTATAAAATTATATATTCAGATATTAGTAAATTTCAACTTATTTTTTGATTTTTGTCCATGGGACGAAGCACTGTGCGATGGTGCCATTTCAAAATCAAAAGTTGTAGTCATTTCCGGTGAAACAGGAAGTGACCGAAAACAATTGAATACGTCAATCAATCCTAATTTATGTCATAATAACATACCAAATCGCGTTTTTTTTATCTGAAAAAATAAAGGTGGGCCACTTTTGAGACGCACCCGGTATAATTTTAGATTAACCCATTTATATTGCTAATGTTGGTTACATTAAGATTAAACTTGTATTTTTAAGAAAGTTATACAGGGTGCTATAAAATTAAATTTGTGTTTATATTTTTTATTTATTTACTTACTATATACAGGGTGCTCTACCTTTTAGTAGCAGGATTCTGGATCAAAACTGGTTTATTTTAGAAAGAAAAAATACATTTTTTTATAATATGCGAAATTCTCGTAATATTAAAACAAAGTTTAATATACAGGGCGATCCAAAAATAGAGAACGTCATTTGTAACTCGAGAAAAGAAAACAATTATTAAATTATGTGCAACTGTATGCCTGATAAAAATATAAAAATTTTGATTTACAATACATTTTTATATAACAATATATAAACTAAATGGTATCCCATATTAGGTATTAAAAAACTTACTGGGCTACTAAAAAGTGGAACATCCTGTATATAAATTTGAAAAACTATAAGCTTTTTCTTATTAAAAAAGTTTCTTTACAAAGTTTTACTTAATTTTTCTAAGAAAATAAAGATTTATCCAGAACCACACTAACCTATACAATATATTATTATAGCAAAACTCGATCCAACAAAATTTCTATTCTTCATCTTCAAATAAAACGGTTTTTGAAGAATTACGTTTCCCAGATAAATTCAGGGATAATATTTCAAAAGCAAGGCAGGCCG